CCCCAAAACCCCAAAACCCCAAAACCCCAAAACCCCAAAACCCCATAAAGCAATATATAGCTAGCGATTTTGAATTGCTATTTGTATAAACATTAAATTATACAATACTTTTAATTATTTAAACAGCAAACAATCAATATGAGGCCAAACCTTAATGGTAAGAAATTCAAAATAATCAGCTTTCTTAAAATATTTTAATTAGGAGTACCCTCTTAAAGCATGATGAGCAATTTGACTAACGATTCTTAATTCTATCTCCCACATTTAAGAAGTGAAACACAATAATTAAATAGCTCATCTTCTAATATAACAGCAGACTCCTCACTTACTGCTTTTCAAACGAATGGAAACTAGGTAGATATATAAATAGGAGTGTTAATGATTTTATAGACTCGATCGCTATTAAGTGGAAGTTCTTTCAATTCATCAATGAGAAGTCATAGTACTGAAAAATAAACCAGCATGTTTTTATCAAAGCTTGATAGTAAAATTAGCTAGCTATCTTAAGACGATAGCAATATGATAAGCAAGAACTCTACAAATTAAACGCAATAAAATCCCTTGAAAAATCAGACTAGGCGACAGTAGGTTCAGAAGGCTCTACCAACATTTTTACCTAAAACAGGCATTGAGCAGCCGTTTACAAAAGATAGACCGAGATTCATCGAGAACCATAAAGAATTTGAACCGATCTAATTTATGAATGTAAGTGGCATATTTCATTAATAACTTACGACAATCTTTTATTATAGCCCTATCTTGTTGAGGAATTTCAAAGGCAAGATAGCGAGAAAACTATGAGTGGAAATAATACTCTTTAAAGAATAGTTTATGATTGTTTGGATCCATCACCATTTTATGATGGTCAAGAAGCTTATTTAGATGAAAATGATGCAATAGAAATTCCGAATGAAGAGTAAAATACGGACTATAGGAAATATCCTTATGGATAGAATTTTTCATTTGGCTAGAATGTAAATGCGCGAGGTATGAGAGTAAACAGATTCTATTAGAAGTTAAAGCCATATTATGTTCTTTAGCAAGAAAATGATAATACTTTGATTTTTGAGAGTAGATTTGAATCTGGTAATTTAAGAAGAGCCGTTTAGGTTAGTGAATTTGAGTATGACCTAATCCTCAAGTATGATTATGGAACAAGCAATTATACTTAGTGGTACTATTTCAAAATTAGTAATATGAGGAAGGATGTAACCTATAAGTTCAATATCATCAATCTAATAAAGCCAGAAAGTTCATATAATTAAGGGATGAGACCACTTCTTTATTCAAAGAAAGAAGCAGATGAAAACAATATTGGCTGGTCTAGAGAGGGATATAATATAGCCTATTTTCAAAATAGCATGAAAAAGAAGGGAGGAGGGTTTTATCATACTTTGACTTTTTCTGTGAATTTCCCTTATGATAACGATGATGTCTATCTAGCTCATTGTTACCCTTATACGTATTCTAACTGTTGCGAATTTTTAAACCAGATTTGTACTTAAGATACTAAAGACAAAATTAGAAAAACAGTTTTGTGCAAAACGCTTGCTGGAAACGATTGCGAAATGGTTATTATAACAAATTTCACCTCTAGACCAGAAGAGATTGCAATAAGAAGGGCTATCGTATTAACTTCAAGAGTTCATCCTGGTGAATCTAATGCCTCATTTATCATGCATGGTACTTTAGAATACTTAGTTAGTGATGAAGAAGGAGCCAAATACCTTAGAAATAACTATGTCTTTAAGATCATTCCTATGTTGAATCCTGATGGAGTAATAATCGGAAACTACAGATGTTCATTATCTACTTAAGATCTAAATAGATAATGGACTTTCCCAAATTCTAAGTAATACCCTGAAAACTACGCGACTAAACTAATGATGAGGAAAACTCTTGAAAGTAGAGAAATACTTTTCTACTGTGATTATCATGGTCACTCTAGATAGAAAAATTTGTTTATGTATGGATGTTAGAACCAAAAAGCTGATCGCTTAAAAGAAAGAATATTCCCTTTGTTGTTTAGCAAAAATACTGAGAACTTTAGCTTCAATAATTGCAGTTTTGTTGTCCAAAAGTCTAGAGAGTCTACTGCAAGAGTAGTTATGTGGAGAGAATTTAACTTGATAAACAGTTTTACTCTAGAGTGCTCTTTTTGTGGACCAACTAGTGGGATATATAAGGATTGCTAATTTACAATATCTATATTAAAGGATCTAGGAAAGTAATTCTGCATTTCACTCATTGACTATGTAAAGAATGATTTAAAAGTTCGAGAAGTAATTGATGAACTTGAATAGCTCTTTCCTCTAAATAAGACAGAGGATGGATTAAGTTCTTAATACTGTTAATCAATATAATAAGATCAGGATAATCAGTATAAGAATGAAAATAACACAAATAATATAGCACCTTCTAGTAAAAATGGAAATGGAAATGGCTAATATGGTACTTACATAGTTGGACTTGAGTAGTAGGCTGAAGATGAAAAGATGGCTGTAAATGGTAGCGGAGATGATAAAAATAGTGTAATAAAGAAAAATGCAAATACAGTAAAGCCAATAAAGAAAAAAACATAAGGAACGAATGGGGCTTTGACTTCTAAAGGCAATCAGATTGTTTCATAGCATACCTATAAGAAATAATAAAGTGAACAAATTCAATAAAATGGTAAAGGTGCAGTAAACTATGCAGCTCCGAATAGCAATTCTAATTATATGTATCGTCACTCTTTATCAAGTGAGAATATGGCTTCGGGTCTTGGCAAATACGAAGAATAAAAGAAAATACCTTCAAAAGAGAGCAAGACCTAAGGGAAATAAAAAAAAGCTAAAAATAAAAAGAGCAGTAAATAAAACCTTCAGAATGAAGATTAAGCTATACAAAATGCAAATAATAATGGAGGAAGCGTAAAAATCTCTCTACCCACTGTCAAGGTTGATAGTTAAAGTAGCGCTAATTCACACTGACATTCAAATGATTTTATAGAATAAAGTGATGTATTATAATTATATAGATGATTTTATCATCTCTAAGTACTTAAACTAATGTACAATCCGGGGTTTTGGGGTTTTGGGGTTTTGGGGTTTTGGGG